TTATTCTTTTAAAGGAAGTTATGTAGTTAATCAAAAATCATAAATACATTCTAACATTAGTGCATAAAAATGTTGTTTTATACAATTTAAAAAAAATACTTAAAACAGTTCTTACTGAATCTTACTTCACTACTCTACATTGATACAGCTTCCAATAGATTAAACCTTGAATTTATGACTTTCCATTTAGTAACATCATATTGACCTATTTATTATTTTTTGTTTATCAGTTACACAACGAAGCGTCTGTTTACGATTCTCTGCATAGCTGCTCTAAAGACTATTCATGTATATATCTCTGATTGTACACTAAGAAAAAGTGGTGTTAGAAGAAGTATTGTAACTGTGATAAAAATGACTACATTTTTTAGGAAAGCTGAGACATACTTGCTATAGTATAAAAATTACTATGATACATTGTGACACCAGATTATTTTAAAATTAGCTATTCAACATAATAACTTTTACTTCGTTCAAAATAACTTTCATATTCAAGTAAGAGAAGAAAACTATATATACATATATTCATACTACACATGTGCCGGAAATATACATTAAACTGACATAAGATTAAAATATTTATTTATATAGGTATTTTTTTCCTTAATTTTATGGAAATAGATGTGTTTTAAAGATATTTTGATTTTAAAGAAGATTTGATCTGCCCGGGAATTTAACCTACTCCGTTCTTCAGATTCCAAATCGGGCATCGTAACCACTAGACTACGGTGTACTACGTCTGATAAACAAAGTACTTTGAGTAACAATGAATAACGGCTGCCTCTCCGATTTCTAAAGACAAGTGTCACAAGCCTTATCAGGACTAAACCACTGACGATAGAAAATACTAATTTTCATTTTGGCGTTTGGGACATGATATCCTTTTTGTTTAAGCTTTAAAGACACAATTTTTACATTTAAATAACCCACTGTCAAATTCCTTATTTTGTCTTTTTTGTACTGTTTTTTTATTTTCGTTTCAATTTTCATTTGGCACATTTTAAATAAAATACAAAAATTTTTTTTCCTACATAATTTTTTTTAAGATAAGACATTTCAAGGAATGTTTGATATCTGTTGTGGTAGATATCAAGAAAAAAAAGAAAAAAATATGGTACGATTCATTTATATCAGCCAACAAAATCCTAAGGTACGTCTGATTACATTGTTTTTATCCTAAACGTTGTGAAAAAGTTTTATTTTATGGTATTTTTTAGTGTTTTTTTTGTCCATTTAAACGATTCCTTTAAAAGAGTTATCAGATAGAATAAAATAAATAATTCTAACCAAAATACTATAGAATAAGTACACTGACACTTTTGTTTGAGACAAAAATAAGGTTGTATGAACTTGTATTCACATTTTTATGACTAAAGCATTCAACCATCCATAACCAAAAAAAAGAGGACTTATTATCGCATGAATCGTGTCACTTCTAAAGGTAGTCATAAAATTCTCTATTTTTATTATGTTAGTTATTTAGACGAATTTTTAAATTGTATAAGACTAGATGTTTTAAATTAAAAACTCCATTAAAAAACTTATACTATTGTTTTATTCATAAAAAACTTGTGTTCTTACGAAGAATTTTACAGTAGTATTAGACTAATTATTTAAGTACCATGTTAAAGTTTTAACTACCGTAAGTAAAAAACAGAGGAACAAATAGTAGTTCTCTATAATTACTTCCAATACTAAGTCCCATGAGTTAAACCTTCTTTATGTTACAGATTTTTTACTAGTGACCATAGACAAACTATTTTTATTTTGCAGTATGTGTGAATGATATTTTTTTTCTCATGGAAAATGCTTTAAAGAGAATGTTTAAATAAACGGAAAACCTTATTCGAATTAAAACTAAAAAGGTATTTGAATGTTAGTTGGTTATTTTAACGATTAAATAAAGATTTTTCAAAGATTTAAACTTTTTTTCCCTTTTTCTCGTTACCTCCAAAACACTTTATGCCTAAGACCCTTGAAAAATATTAAAATTACAAACAGCAAATCTTTTATAACTTTTAATTCAAAATAATTTACAAGGGTGTGAGTAGGTGAATATCAGCACAATTAAAATTGTTCATTTTCTTTATTTTATAGCCGTTCTGACTGAATGTACGTATAACGGCTCTGCATTTCTGTTACTCTGCATATTACATGATATCTAGGCTATACTCATTTAATTAGTGAAAAAACCTATTACCATTTATGCAAAAATTTTTTATTGTTTTTATTTGTTTGTCTTCTTTTTATTTTATCTATTGACTTATTTTTTGGGTCCTGTTTACAAATGTTTTGGGTTGTAAATATGTTGTATAGTGTTATAGCATCTTAAATTTAAAAAAATTTAACACAACACACATTTTTAAGATAACGATAAAACAAAATTTTGGTTATCTTGTTTGGGAATATAAACGTGCACGTATAAAATAGATTACATCCAGGGATGTGTGTGTATGTGTAATTAGCCACATTTTAAGGGTATTTACTAAATCATTTGGTTTTTTTACAATATCGACTGTTGCATTTAAAAAAAATTATTGTTAATAACTAACTATGTAGCTGTTGGAGCCCAGAATAACGGGAAAACCTTTAGCTAACCCTTTGAGAAATCAATTAAACTTAAATTCAATACAAACAGTCATGAACTGAAAAAGAAAAGTGTTATATTTTGTGACAATTTAGGACTGTATTTCAGGGGACATAATCTGAAATAACACTTTTTTTAAAAGTGATGCGTTAAATTAAATGAAATTCAGACAGGGCTTCTAAAATAAATCACGAATGTAACTTTTCTCTCTTACTTGGCAACGGATTGCATAAAGTTTTGACTCGATTGATTTCTTGAAGTACCAGCTTGGAGCTCTTCTTACTATTTTCGAATAATACAACTAGCTAAACAGAGAATAATTTTTTTAAATTTTTTTCTAAAAATAGGAAACGTGGTAAATAATTAATTTCAGGTGAATACGGTACAATACAAATGATGCAAATTTGTGGATACGACAGGTATCATTAGAATCATAAAATTCTAAGGTTTTCTACAAGAAATCCGTATTTTAAAGTAAATCATGTATGTGGGTGTGCGAGGGTGTGCGTATAAAAATAAATACAAGCATATTTCGTGTTTGCATTAGTAGATTTTAAAACCAAAACTACATTTTTATTCTTAAATACGTACTACCACTTCAAAATACAACTTTTATGGAAATGATACTTTCTTATTTTTATTTCATTTTATTGGTTTTCGAAGCTACATTTCTTTGTTCGAACATTGTCATAAGCTTTCAGAAGTCAAAAAATTTTTCACAAACATTTTTTTTCACAAAAATGAAACATTTGCGTACGCGTTACGTACGTAGGTAGATAAAATTATTCTAGACTTATTAAATATAAATAATTTTAATGATTACATGAAAAAAAAGTATACAAAACAAACTGAGTACAAATAAAAACATTACAAAAAAGTAAAGAAGCTCAGTATTAATAAAAGTGCATGGTATTATTATTCTTCAGATTATCCAGATTTTTGTATTAATCAAAAATCTAACGTTTCTTAAGTATATTTTTTGTCAAGGAACAAAAAATAATACATCTTATATAGTGTTTAGTTTAACTGAGAATTCAATTTTTTTTCACGATAGCAGCAAAATAAAGAAGTCTTTTTCCTGATTTTTTTCATAAATATTGTTATTAGTACCATAATATTTTCACATTTAAACTGTAACCGTGTATTTTAAAAACGTAAAAAAAGATGTAAAACTTTTATTGACTACACAAAAATTTAAAACATAAGGTTTTCGCCGTGTGCAAGAAGATATTAGGGGTACTGACACTGACATTCTTTTTTAACACGTACTCTCATGGAAAACTTCTGAAATTTTGCCAACGACAGCCACATAAACAACTTTTCATTCATATGATTTATCATGCATAGCTCCGGAAAATAGGGGCATCATATTACTTGCACTCAGCAAGCAGCGAAATAAGTCATTTTTTAAAACATATCAAAATTTTTTCTTATTTTGAGAGCCTGTAACTAGTCTAAAGAATACATTAAAATATTCTATTTGTTTTTTCTAAGATTTACAACTTTTGTATACACAACTTTGCAGTATTATTTTAACTTTTAACTATTATTTTCAATTTTCATTTGGCACATTTTAAATAAAATACAAAAATTTTTTTTCCTACATAATTTTTTTTAAGATAAGACATTTCAAGGAATGTTTGATATCTGTTGTGGTAGNTAGAAATCCTGCAGTGGATCAAACAGATTTTTCACCAGTCATCGATAAATATTCATCACAAATCAAGTTGAATGGATATCAAAGAGTAACCAACCCTGTTTCACCAACAATAAATGAGAATTCGATACCTAACGATTTATCTAAAATAAATTAGTTTCAAATTGATATTTTGAACGTGGTTAATAATGAAAATATTTATTTTTTTGACGGTAAAAACATAAAAGTAACTTTTTTTCAGTCTTCATAAGTATAGTCAAAGGTCTAGTTATTTTTAAAGCTACATTTTTCCTTCATTGGGTATGGACAATAATACCCGTTAAAACAATTACATACGAGAAACTAATTTTAATTTTACAGAGTTAAATAATCTAGCAACTGATGAACTCTCCCCTTTGAAAAAAATCTTCTAGATTCCAAATTGTTAGGTCATAATAAAAAAAGTAAAGCTATAAATCACATTTAAGCTCAATCAGAAGTAAAGTTCTAAAAATAGTTTTTTGAAATTTTTTTAGAAGTGGGAAATGCATTAGTGACTCTGGTTAAAACATTAAGCATTATAGTAAAGTAGCATTGCTTATTAGAAATAACATTCTTATTTCATGTTTAAGCAGTATTTATAAGCTAGTCAAAGAATTTTTAAAAAATTTTATTTTATACATTCTAAACCAGTGAACAATGGATGCTTTGGTATTCTATAATAAGGTTATACTTAAATGACATTCTATGGTAGACAATATATAAATATAAACGTACCTTTTATAAAACGATATTCTGTAAAAAAGTGGGGACTATATCGTTAGAAAAAGTATGTGCATGTTAATTGAGGGTTGTTTCAATAAAAATTTTAATATTGAATAAATTAACAAAAATAAACAATAATAAAAAATAAATAACGTAATGATAAAAGAAGTACAAGTTATAGCCATGACATGACGTGCTGCCAGGCTGGCCCGTACAAGAGTGCTTACTTTCATTGAATCTTCCGTTTATTTTAAAACAAGTGCCTACGTCAATAACATCTCGAACATTGGCTTGCATCTACCACATACGCTGACACACTTATTCTGACAATTAATTGCGTACATGACACCTGGAATATTTATTAAAAAGAAGGCTTAGAAAATAATAAAAAATCGATTTTTTAACGAATGCTTATTAAATTCTAAACTTCACAAAATGAACGATTAACAGACTGTCAATAAAACATGTAGCAAACGTAATAATAATAATAATAAAGTAAACATAATTAGTGATTTCAAATGAAATTAATAAACTGTTTATAAATATTTGAATTCAAAATTATTGAAAATTTAATAAATATTTACTATTATATAAGAAAATTACTGCTGAGAAATCTTGTTTTTAAAGCTTGAAAAAAACAAATAGATAAATAGTTAAATTAAAAACAAGCTTCTTAAAAAGAAGAAACTAATTTTTTTATATCGGGGACCTCTCTTAGTAGAGTGAGTAAGATACTCTGCTGGCTTGCAGGAAGACAGGGGCTTAAATCTCGATAAAAGTGTTTGATAAAATGAAAAGTTCACTTCTGTTACTCGTTTCTTACTGTTACTAATCTTGAATCGTTATTTACTCTGTAGCGGAGGATATGTCTAGAGAAATACAAGTTTAAAAATATTTCGTTAGATGTAAAGACTACTGGTTCGGAAGCGAAATTAAAATTGAAGATATTTTATTATGTATACTTGAAATAAACAGATTACAAAGATATTGTAAAGTACAACTCTTATGATTCACGCATATCAGTAAACAAACTACGGGGGTTCTGACTTACAGAACCAGTAGTCATATGTGTTCTGGCTCGTTTCATGCTATTGGACGAGTTGCATCTCGTGCTATTGGACGATATTTCTGGTCCGCTTTGTGCTATTGCATGACGGATTTTTAACTGAGTGAGCCAGAACTCTTATAGGATTTTTGCTTACCTTGTTCGACTGTTCTGGGCAATTTAAGATGCACCGGGCAGTCAGGTACGTGGCCAATCGTGCTATGGAAGAGCTACTAAGTACCTATACTAATACATGTATGTTTGGAAGACGGTACCGCACTGCCTTATCGACGTTGACCACTTTTCTTATGGTTATATTAGCAACATGTGGAAAAAAAAGGTTTTAAATGTCAATTAAGTAAGCAAGTCCTCAGCAGCTCATTTGGTTTTATTTTTCGTAATGGATGCGATGGTCAAGGGCTTAAATCAAACGAAAATTAAGCTATTAATGAATTGTTTTTACCATTTGTCTTTTTTAATAATATTGTACACTTTCAAAAAAATTTTGTTCAAATTTCATTTTGTGGCTCTAAAGAAGATGGATTTCACATCTACTCTGTGAAAATTCTCTTAGGTAATTTCTTTCACTTGCTCTGAGAAAAAGTCAAATTAGTAAGAAATGGTTGACGAATGATGGAGAAAAAGATCAAATCCATTCCTGGTGGTAGAGATCTCAAGCCAACTTTTTTTACTCTTAACTGTAACCTGGACGTATTCCGTTTACTTACTCTGACCTGAAGGTTTTAACTCTCTCTAGCCATTTGGATCTCTGTATCCCCTTGATTTTTAGACCATGATTGTCTTTGATAATAAATAAAAAAACTCTTCTCAGATATTTGTATAGTATGACTTTCAAAGATCAGAGTAAGCCGTGATGGTTTTTTTTCTAACCACTAGCTGTGATGCATCCTTTAACCTAATGATTTTTGTACAGAAGAGAATAGTGCAAAGAAGAATACTAATGATAGAGAATTCTCTTTTACAGAATTAATTGCAACTTCCTTAAAATTAAATTCCTGTTTAGTGCCCTTGAATCCTTGCAAAGCAAATGATATATTTCTTCGTAACGGCTTTTTTAGACTAGTCCTATTTAGTTTGAGTGCAGACTAAATGCAACAGCCGTTTTTAGTGACTCTTATACTCATTAACCCCCACTTTAAGACATTGAGAGCTTTGGAGCCCTCACCACCATCTATTGACTAATCTTTGAGATGGAAGAGTAGCTGTAGTAGCTCATTCCTACATGTCGATCCACTGAAACATGTCTACTACATTTTTACCACCATTGACTAACTTTTGTAGCTACCTGCTTATTACAGCGGAGATAAACTGTTATATCAGACCATATATTCGAGCTTACAGCTGAGTCTATACTTTTCACCAAATAGGTCAAGCAGCTCTAGATTGAATAGGAACTGGCAGAAAGTTTTCTCATGCAGAAACATTTTATGTCATAGCTCTAACCTAACAGGTTCTTATCGTTTAGTAAAGGTTTTAAAAAAGCGTATCTTTACATTTGTTTTGAAGTCCATACATGCATATATCTCTGTAATAAAGTGCCCTCTGCATTATATTTTACAGATGCTAATCATTTATTGTTAAAAACTTATTCATTAATGCTAAGTGGTGATGCTGGTTCAAGTTGTGCACATATTAAGGGTGAAATTTTCACATAAATATAGGCAATCCATAAATGTATCACCACAAGATAAGCAAAAATCGCAAGCATTTTTTAATCTTATAATAACCGTTTTTCAACTTTAACACAATCATCAACCAGCGAATGTGCACAAAGGTCATGTAGTTGCTGCTAATCACGTATGATCATTATCACTGAGAAGTAGAAATCCTGCAGTGGATCAAACAGATTTTTCACCAGTCATCGATAAATATTCATCACAAATCAAGTTGAATGGATATCAAAGAGTAACCAACCCTGTTTCACCAACAATAAATGAGAATTCGATACCTAACGATTTATCTAAAATAAATTAGTTTCAAATTGATAGTGCTTTTAATAACTGCATCAAGACTTCTATAATTTTCAACCACTACCCCTTCAAAAAATTTTTTGAAGTTTTCGAGGACGTTGAGCAGCAGTTAACCTCAAATACTTAAAAGATTTTCCATGAGCTCTATTCATTGAGAGTAATTAAATTACTGACAGCAAAATACGCTATTGTAAAAAGTTATGAACAGAATAATGAGATCAAGTACTTTACACCAAATTTTCCGCAATTTTTTTTATAACAGTTGTGAAAGAATGGTTGAGTTGTAACGTTCGTCATCCTTTCACCAGAGAAATGAAGGAGCTCAAGAAGTGAGATTTCAGCTGGTATCTTTATGCTGTCTCAAATCTTGTTGTGTATATATACAAGTACTAACCCATGAAAAGTAGCTCTTGGATTGCCCTTACTAAATCAAGGACGAAAAGCTTGTATGGAAGTGTAGAATTAGGAACAATAGTGCTTTAAGTAGATCATTTTATCTGCACTTCAAGCAGTAAAAATAATAGAAGCAAAGTTTTAGCTTGCAAAATTCTGAGAATACTTGAATTTGTAAGAACTTAGAACTTCCGAAAAATTAAAAACAAGTTACTTAACTTGAAAAACATGAAAACATTTCAATTAGTGTGTACTTCCCGCCGATCAAAGAAAAATAGTTCAAAACTTTACTACTTGATTTAACATCTGAAAAGAAAAAAAGGCATGTATATCTATTGCTCACAGAAAGTTTCTACATTGAGTAGAACAATGGAATAGAGCAAAACAATGCCAATAAAGATATCTTTAAAAATTATATTTTTGTGATAGGCATTAACGTTACTCTGTAACAGAAGTAAAGTTATGCCCTCATACAGTGGTATATCAAAATGCTAATAATTTCTTAATCATTTCGCCAAAAAAAAAGGCAGAGTATACTTAGTTTTACGATTTACATCAACAAAATCAAAATACTATACGTAGTATATGAAGATTTTGAATGACTTTTGGAACACTAACAAGAAAATGCGGAAGCCATTCAACGTAATTTACCTCTAAATATTGTATTCATTACTGAATGTATCTTTATACCTCCTTTTTCGGATACAGTAATTATTGACAGCAGAAGGAAGATAATGAGAATGCTGCAGCTTGGTTTGGCAATTAATTTTATGGACTCACTATTAATCTGCACAAGACGTATGATAATTCAAATTAAATTAAAGAATTGATTTATGAGAAAGAGTATTATTTTGACAAGGTGGCTACGTGTCATATTTTAGAAAAGTTATTCGTGAAAGATGATAAGGTTAAGAATCACTGTCACTTCACAGGATTGTTAATATCATCGATCTTATGTTTAATTATTTTCATACAAAAAGCTAATGAGATTTTTATTAAAGATATTGAGATTTTGCTCAAAATGCTTGTAATATTCAAACAAGAAGTCAAGCGCTATACCGATCATCTTCCCTTTTATTTGGACAACCATAAAACTCTAAGGCATAGGCTTAATGTGGAGGATTAGTATGAAATGGATCTAACTAATTTATTCAAGAGTAAAAAAGTCTTTTTCTATGACTATGTGTCATCGTATGCGTATGATAAGCTTTAAGAAGTTGTTTTGCAGTCAAGAGATAATTTTAACAGTAAACTGCTAGATTCAAACATGTTCAACGAAGACTGCAAGTATTTACAGAAAGTACAGGACACTTTAAACAATAATAACTTTCAAAACATTGATACATATCTCAAGATAGATGTGTTTCTTTTGGCTAAAGTCTTCGTACACTTTAGAGATAATATTCTTTAGACATAATTATCTGGACACTTATAAACTGGATCCAGCTTACTACTACACTACCCCAGATTTGATGTGCGATGCAATGCTAAAGAATACACATAAAACTATTTAATAAATTTTTTTTTTCCTTATATTCTATTTTCATTCTACGTGTATATTACTTAGATTTCTCTTTAATTACTGATTGACATATTATTGTAAACTTATGTTCATTGAAAAAGGCATAAAAGGTAGAATCAATTAGTGCTTGAATAAATATGCTTAGGTAAACAATCATAATGTAGAGGATAGTTATAATTGAAATAAGAATGACTTGTACCTCATATACTTTGTCGATAATAATTTATATGGTTTAGA